ACACACAGAGAACAGCTAGATGGAATGAAAATATATTGGCATATTAAGAGAATATTTGGTCCCGGCCTGTCAGTATTACAGTATTTTTCCTTTTTGCTATTAAAGTTCAGTGTTTAAGGCAGAGAGACCTGGATTTAAATCATGGTTCTGTCATTTAATTGGTCATGTTCTGTGCCTTCTCTGAGCTTCAAACAAATGAAAAGAATAACATCTTTAAGTTGCTGGGAATTTGTTGGGAAGAGTAAATAAAATATTACATTTAAAGATCATACCTCAGTGGCTGCACATAATAAATACTTTCTTAAGTTTCATTGTCCAGGTCACATAGATTTAGCCCAAATAGCATTATTTGCAATAAAAATTGTAATACAGGGGTTTTAACCAAAAGTACTTAGAGTCATGCAACCACATTTTGCAACAATATTATGGGTACAATTTTAGAAAACTTCATTTAGATGCAAATGCGTGGAAATACCTAAACAATCTAGAAATCATATAAATGCAAAATATATTTCAGGATTATATTTTACTTTATCTCCTAATATTTAACAACACACACACACACACACATGCAAACACAAACACATGTACACATACACACACACCATGGCCTGCAAGCCCTGGAAACCATCCTTTGCCCCCATATAAATGATACTTTGCTTGTCATTTTTATTTTTTAGTGGTTAATGAATTCCTGGTAATAATTGCCAGTTTTCCTCCACCCCCTTGTCCCCTGCTGCAAAAGATCTCATCTATTCAGAGGAAGATAATTGCAGAGCTGTTGAGACAGAAAAGAAATCACTGCATCTCACCACTGTTGTGCGCCTCCAGCTGTGAGGCAGAGTTGACAGCAACCTTGCATAGCGAACAGTAAAGAAGCCGTTTTGCCTTTTCTTCCTCAGTCTCCGTGGAAGGACAGGAGCTATTGCCAGTGGCTGTTGTGGGGCTTTTTTCTACTTTAGAGGTGATCTCAGTTGTCATAACACTGCTTTTGCGGATTTCCACAGTTGTTGTCGTTGATATTGCTGGTGTCCCTGCAGTACCGTCTGCATTCAAAATAGCATAGGGAAAAGGGGGGGAAACAGTGGTATTATCTTTTTCTATTTGGAAATGTATCACTAATATTACATTCTGCTAATAATGATAACAGCAGCTAGCAATTGTTGTTTGTCAACTATGCGTCAATCAT